TACTCCTCAACAAAATGGAGTGACCGAAAGGAAAAATAGACATTTACCAGAGGTTGCTAGAGCTATACTTTTTTCGAATAAAGTATCAAATTATTTATGGAGCAAAGTTGTTTTAACAACTGCGTATTTAATTAACAGAATGCCCTCCAAAATTCTCAAATTTCAAACTCCAATTAATGTCTTCAAAAAATGTTTTCCTAGTACTCGTGTTTTAACTGATTTGACTTTAAAAATATTTGGTTGCACAACCTTTGCTCATGAACATAAAAATGTTGGAAAACTTGAGCCATGTGCTATAAAATGTGTCTTCGTTGGATACTCGCAAACCCAAAAAGGATATAAATGTTTTGATCCAAAAAAAAAAAAATAAGAAAATGTTTCTTACTATGGATGTTACATTCTTTAAAAATAAACTTTGTTTTGATGACACTCATCTTCAAAGGGGGAGATAAATGAATACTCATTTCAAATTGAGGACATGAGTTTTTAAAATAACATATATTTGCCAGTATCACAAAATTCTGAGACTTTTACACCTACACCAACAAAAAATGGCCATGATTCTTTATCTGATCCTACTCCTGTTATGAGTAAGAAACCTTGTGAATCTGAGCCTGCATTTTCTCTAGTAGAAAACAATGAGAATCCTAAAAATGATGATAATAATGATCTAATTGAAATGCCAAAAAATAATGAGTCACTTCAAGAAAACAAATTTGAATTAGAAAAAGGAGTTGGAAAGGAAAGGTTTTTGAAAAAAAAAAGCACCATAAAGAAAGGGACGAGTCCACATCTCAACACTGCCAGAAATCTGAATTGGGGAATGATAAACTTCTTAACAAAAGGAAAGATAAGTATATCTCTGTTTTTGAGAGACGATTTTGTATCATGATATAGATGATCCTGTTGCCATTAGAAAACCAGTCATATCTTGCACTAAACACCCCATGTCCAATTTTATATCATATTCAAATTTTTCTTTATCTATGACCGTCTTCACCTAAAAATTGTCTAGTGTATAAATTCAAAAAGTGTATATGTTGCTCTAGAAATTCCAAAGAGGAGGGAAGTTGTACTTGAAGAGATGAAAGCTCTTAAAAAGAACAAAACTTGGAGTGTTATGTCACTACCAGATAGCAAGAAGACAGTTGGATGCAAATGGGTGTTTGTTATGACGTATAATTCAGATGGGTCAATTGAAAGGTACAAGACTCGATTAGTGGCTAAAGGCTTTACTCAGACATATGGTATAGATTACTCAGAGACATTTTCTCCTGTTGCAAAATTGAACATTGTCAGAATTCTTTTGTCTCTTGCTGCAAACCTAGATTGGCCCCTACCTCAGTTAGATGTTAAGAATGCATTTCTTAATGGCGATCTAGAAGAAGAAATATATATGGCCATTCCTCCTAATTTTGAAAACAAATTTGGATCAAATGTGTGTAAACTAAATAAGTCTTTGTATGGATTAAACCAGTCTTCTAGAGTTTGATTTGAAAAATTCACTCAGTCCATGAAAAAACAAGGGTACGTCCAAGAACAGACTGACCACACATTGTTCACAAAGTTCTCCCACAATGGGAAATCTGTTGTCCTGATTGTTTATGTTGATGATATTGTCCTTACTAGAGAGACGATATAGTGGAAATGGCAAGAGTAAAATAGAAATGGTAGTAGACTTTGAAATTAAGGACTTGGGATTCGTGAGATATTCTCTAGGTATGGAGGTTGCTTGGTCAAAGAATGGTATTGTGGTTTCACAATAAAAATACATTCTAGACTTGTTGAAAGAAACATTAATGAGTGAATGTCATCCTGCATATACCCATATGGATTCTAATGCTAAACTTTGGGGAGAAAGTAATGTTCCTGTTGATATTGGAAGATATCAGAGATTGGTTGGGAAACTGATTTATTTATCACGCACCCAACTTGATATTTCTTTCTTAGTTAGTGTAGTGAGTCAGTTTATGCATTCTCCTTTCGAGGGACATCTTGAGGCAATCTATAGAATATTGAGATATTTGAAGGGAAATCTTGGAAAAGGGTTATTTTTTAAGAAGACTAGTGAAGGAAATGTGTTTATCTTCATCGATGCTGATTGGGCAGGTTCAGTCACAGATGGAAGATCAATCTCTGGATATTGTACCTATGTTTGGGGTAATCTTGTGACATGGAAGAGCAATAAACAAGGAGTTGTAGTAAACAGTAGTGCAGAAGCTGAGTATAGTGTTATGTCTCAAGGTATTTGTGAAGGATTATGGATCCTTATAATCCTAGAAGAACTTAAGATGAAAATTGAAATTCCATTGAAATTGCACTCTGACAGTAAAGCTACTATTAATATAGCTCATAATCCAGTTCAACATGACAAAACCAAACATATCGAGATTGATCGACACTTCATAAAGGAGAAGTTAGATACTGGAATCATATGTCTACCTTTCGTGACTTCAAGTCAGCAAACTACGGATATCCTGACCAAAAGTTTGACAAAACCTACATTTGAGCATTTGATAGACAAGTTGGGCATGATAAATATCTATGAACCAGCTTGAGGGGGTGTTGGAAAAAAGTTTATTTTTGATTTTATTATTGCCTTTAATCTATCTTTATTTTCCTTTATTCTCCATTAAGAAGAAAATCAAGTATAATAATTGTATTTTCACTATATAAACCAACCTAAGGCTCAGGAATAAGATACAATAACTTTTACCTATTTTTTTTCTAATACAAACATATGCTAAGAGCAATGTTGATGCTAGATTATTTTTCTGGATGACTTAACTAAAAAATGAGGAAATAAAATTAGAGGATTGTGACTCAAAGGATCAAATTGTAGATATTATGAGCAACCCATTGAAACAACATGTGGTTATTAAAGTAAGAGATCCAAGTCACTTGGAGTTTGCTTAGCACAAGTAATGTAGATCAATTTAAGGGAGGAACGATTAAGGTAAGGATGCCAATTTGCATCCGTTAACGGGGATCCCTGTGGAGATTATTTGTTTGGAGGTTTGAAGTCGGAGATTTTATTCCCCGCGAGGACGGGGATGGAGGGAAAAGTTCCCCCGATGACACTTTGGGGCGGGGATTGAAGAAGTACCCTCTGCCCCGCGAATTCCCCGACCCCGACCATAATATTTAACTTTACATTATATAGTATATAATTATATAATTTGACATGTTTATTTTATAAAAAATTAATTAATATATTAAGGAATGAAGAGTCATACGTGGATCATTTTTGTGTTTTATTGTATAATGTATTGGTTCACCATTGAAGTATCTCAACCTAGAAAAATGCACCCAATACATACAATGTATACGCCCTTTCCTCTTCTTCTTTTCTCAATTCTCTTTGTCTCCTCCATTCCTCATCTCCTATATTCTCATCATCATCATCATCAAAACAACCACTCTCATTTGTTCATTGTGCTTATGATAATTTCTTAACTTCAATATACTTTAATTATCAAGCTGATTTTTGTTCAATTAATAAATTAGTGGTTATGTTTTTGTAACTGCAAGTGCTTTTACATTTGTTTATTATTTATTCAAGATGTGTTTTTATTTATTAAAAAAATGAAAAATATATGTTTAAAAAAAAAAGGAAAAAAAACTAAACACTAGTGTCATAGTTTTGATAAAAAAAATATAATTTTTTTTATGATTCAAAATCTCCGTGGATATCCGATTCTCTGTAGAGATTGGGATGGGAAAAAATATTCACCCGTGACGGAGATCAAAGACAGAGATAGAGAAAATATTAGGGGGCGAAGCGGGGAGCGGAGAAACATCTTCCACGCATTGATTGCTCCGTTGACTTCTCTGGACTAAGGGTTGGTTGATGACAAATCAATTAGACTAAGTCATTTTTTTATAAGAAAGTCTTATTTGGGAGGGACTATAGCTTTGCTTATTTTCCTAACCATTGATCACGTTTTTAGATGAAAACGTGGTGCAATTATTTTCTTTATTTCTATTGCAATGCTAGTATAAAACATCATATAGTATTTCTTCAATAAAACGAAAACTTTCACTCAATTTTTTTTATAGAACCCCTACATTAGATATAAGTTACACAAAAATTTGTTTTGTTCAAATGTTAATGGAATTGTTTGATTTACCTTTAAAAACTAGTTTTTCTTTTAACTTTTAAAAATGTTTTTAAAATGTTAATAGTATTTTTAAATTCTGTTTTATAAATTAAAATATTAAATTTAACATCAAATAACATAAATATACATTATCAAAGATAAAACATAGTGAAAATCATAGATGTTTTTTAAAAAATGTATTTTAAAAATAATTTTGCTATTCAAATTTTTTTAATTTTAAGTAATTTTTTTGAAATTTTAATATCCACGAAAATTATAGTAAAAAATAAAAAATTTAAAATAATATTTTAAGGAAAAATTATTCAGATTAATTTTTTATTTGAATTTTTTTTAAAAATTAAATAAAAATATATAGTATTATAAAAGTATTTAAAAAAAAATTGAAACAAACCGGTCTAATATGTTATATGTACAGCCCAAAAGCATAAAGTTTATTTCCTTTAACCAAACAAAGAAATATAATTGTTTTCGAAATCTAGTTGATAAGAATTACAAAAAAAAAACAATTAATTGGTAATATCAACTCATGTGAGCATGGTCCACATTAAAAGACACATTTTTTAAAGAGTTTGTATTCAAATTGTTGTCTTTGCACTTCACCAGTAACGATGAAATTTGTTTCTTTCTTAAACTTTTTCTATTATGTATCTATGGTCAAAGTTTTCATGATGTTTTTAATTTTATTTAAAAAGAGAATTTCAGAATTTTTTCACATCAGACGCCACCACAGTTGTTGTCTGACTAGCCACCAACTACTTAAACTAATCACTTAATTAATTCCATAAAGTTGTATACTATAGATTATAAACGATTGTTATTTCTCAAAGCAGCCTCCAAAAATAAATAAATAAATAAATATAATACTAAAATAGAACTTACCAAATAGAAAGAGAATCAAGAGCTAATTCAGGATTAGGAAGCAACCCAGCAAGCAAAACCAATATTTGAAAATACCAAGTCTCCAAACACAACATCACTGCTGATGAAGCTGATAACTTGAAAAACTCTGGCAACCCTGAAAATGCTTGAAAAGTAAACCCTCTCCATGTATGTTTACACTTTTCACTTTTCACAATATACACAAACTGTGCTATCACAATTATCCACCAAGAGAAACTCAAAACCAAAGAAGCACCCAATAAACCAAGCCCAAATTTGTACACAGCAACATAACTTGCTATAATGTGAATAACCAATGTTCCTGCTGATATGTATGCACTTGGTGCAACTATGCTCTGTGCTTGAAGAAATTTTTGGATTGGAAAGTTTATAGCATAGGCAAATATTTGTGGGATTAGACCATAGACAAAAAGTGATGCTGCTGAGGCAATTTCTGGTGATTCTCCTAGAAAGATCAAAAGTGGTTTGGAGAATATGTATATTAATGTCAATATTAAACCAGCTATTGTGAGAAGAACTGTTGATCTTTGCAAATATATGCCTAACATGTCATATTTTTTTGCACCAAATGCTTGTCCACATAGTGTCTCTACTGCACTTCCCATGCCCAACTGTTCATTAAAGAAATTCAACAATCATATTTTTATAGATGTTCTTAATTTCTAAGGATTGAAATTACATTAGGAATTTCTATTGTCAATTTTCTTATACTAAACCTTATATAAAGTCTTAATTTTATCAAAAATTGTGATATAAAATAAGGTTAATTTTAAAATAATTTGAGAAATCAAGGACCTATTTATTATATATTAAAAAAATTGTTTCTTTAAATTTTTTGTAAATGTCTTTTATAAAAAAATAAAATTATTTTTAATTTTTGAAAAGGAAAATTTTAATATATAATAAATGAAAAAGTATTTTCAAAAGTTCGGGGTTATACCTAACCCAGATAAACCAAAGATAAAGACATAGAAACAAAAATAACAAGTCAAAATAAATGCAACACCAAAATAACCCATTGACCTAAACAATCCGAAAATTAAAAAAATTTAAATATAATCAAAATAGAATAGTTTTTCAAAAAGACATATCTTAAAAATATTTTTTTTTTCAAAATAGCTTTAAAATTAAGTAAATTTTTAAATGTGATATTTTAAAAAACATAGAAAAACGGAATAAATAATTAAAATAATAATTTTCAAAAAAACGTTTAAATCAATTTTAAAAAAATTATTACTAAATTTATTTAAAAAATATAATCTAAGTTAAAATCATAATAATTTTCTAGACAAAACCATAGGAAAGAGAAATGCAGAAGTAGTGGGTTGTGATTATTTTATTGTTTCATTAAACATAAAGATAAATTATGCTAAGAGATAGCAATAATTGAAGTGAATGAAATCCTATTACAAAAGCAGAAGATTAATTGGAAATAAATTGAAACTATTTGATGCCAGAATTGAAACTAAATTTGATTAGTAGGTCTAGGGAATTATATAATAGTGAAAAACAACAGAGATAGAGTAATACCATGAGACCATAAGCAAAGACTTGTATGCCAGTATTTCCAAGTGAAGCAGCAGCAAGTTCCAAAGTACCAAGATGCCCAGAAAATATTTGAGTGGACATTGACATGACATAGTTGATAAGGTACACAATAACAGCAGGGGCAGCAAGGTAAAAAAGCAACTTTAACTCAACCCATGAAGCAAGTCCAAAACGTTTAACAAAAGAAACACTTGTGTCTGATAGAATTCTTTCAAGTTCACCATCTGATTCATGTTTTGAACCAAATGAATGAGTGAAGGATGATGGTTGTTCTTGTGGTGTTGGTTCATTAGGTGCTAGCAATGGTTCATCAATATCTTTGTGGATGTGAGTGGAAGTAGTGCTCATGTTTGTGAGTATTTTGGTTTGAGGGTTAATTAGAAACCAAACAAATGATATTATGGAGGAAGAAACTGTGTGCTATGTTGGGCTTGGTTTTTATAACTTTGGAGATGTTTTTCAGGTCGGGCTTTTAACCTATTATTAGTAAACTTGTATTAACAGTGACATGAATAGTTTTATAAGATGAAATGGTATGTAAATAATATTTATTTCTGTTTTTTTTTTTATGCATAAAAGTTAATAAATGATTCCATTAATAGTTATTAATAATTTTCTTTTTCAAGCGATTATATAAAGAAATGAATAATCATTAATAAATGAAATTATAATTTTCTTTTTTAAGCAATTATATAAATAAATGAAATATGTATGAAATTTTTTTTAGTTTAAAGGTACTATCGGTGTAAAAAAATAATACACTGACATTCAATTATATTATTTTAAAGTGTCAAACTATAACAATATTTTAAAAATAAAAATATAATATGTTGAGATACACGTCTATCATTGGTTGGCAGTGTAAAAGTATTTTACATTGTCATAATATATATATTTTTTTAACTATTTAAATAATAAAAATATAAGTAAAATGAAATATGTTGAAGCATATATGAAAACCTTAAGCGATAAAAAGAAAGAAAAATTATTTTGAGATTGTAGAAATCTGAAAGTTCGAAGGAAAAAGTAGTTTGGAAGTCAATGAAGACGATGGTGCAAGAAGGTCGACGGCGGTGGTGGTTGGCGATCCTACAGGCTCAGTCGGTATCAGTCTGACGAGTTTAGGATGCGGTGCTCGGGGCCTAGTGTCGTTAACTAGGGAGTGGTGGTGGCCAACAAGTCAGTTTCAACAGGAGATTCGGGTTGGTCAGAATTAGATATGGTCCAAGTAGTTTTCGTGTATCAGACTTGATTGTTTCGGTTTGTGGATCAATTTGTTAATGAGTTGTATTTCGGGTTCGTTAAGTATTAGTTGAGTTTCATCCGTTATAAATATGTATCTTCGTCATTCATGTCTAAAAAAAACTTTATAATGTAGTCTGAAAGACAGAGGGATGAAGTGAAAATCCTTGGGGGAACTTAGAGAGGCAATAGCAGAAATTCCTATGATTGTGTTCTTAGAATTTTGAAAACCTTTGGAGGTATCTAAGAGAACTAGAAAATAATTCTAAACAAATTAGTCTTGTGTAATTCATATATAGAAAGCTGGAGAGATTGCGAAAAACTTGGGTAGAAAATACATTTTGTTCTTGGAAACTTGGATGACTATTTTCTTAGAACTCATTTGTAATTTTTTGTAACACCTTTTGGAAGTATAGTGAATCAGAGAGATGTTTTATTCCCCATAGTAGATCGTTTGATCAACTTGGGTAAACAAGTTATTGTGTTTATTGTCTTTTATCTTTTTTGCCAAGATAAGTTGTTGTTGCATTCCAAAGAGAATAATTTTGCGAAGGCCATTTATTTATGTTATCATTGTTCTTTTTCCCCCTTACATCAATTTTTTTTGTGAATGAACATTTCAATTTTACAACAAGTGGCACCCACCATGGGGTGTCATACCTCGAAATATGAGAACGACCTCGCGATGCGCAATCACACGCTCGCGGGATGGACTTAACATAGTCGCCACTGAACTTTATTTATTCCCAAAGAGGGAAAGTAAAAATATCGATAAAACCCATAAATGAAAATAATAGGATATGGTCATCGCAACCAATCTCGAGTTTGAAAGTTGGTTATGCAAGGGGAAAATATTAGCACCCCTCACATCTGTTATACTCAACGGGAACCATCTAAGTTGTCTAAGTGCGAATGAGTGTCGTTGTCTAAGGGTTACTTTCTATCGGGGGAAATGGTTGGTTTTTATTAGGGTGTTCGCCAAGATCTCATAATCTCATGCCTACTTATCCTTATTGTGAAATGAGATATCAGAGCTCTGTAGTTCGGAGTAGAAAATGAGTATGTGTTGGCTGATTTTGTACCTTGAAAAAGGGTTTTGGAGATCGCACGACGGCAAGGAAAAAAGAGTTTGATGAGTTGATGTTGTGTTTAGGGTTTTGAAAAGAGTCTATTTTTTATTTGAATTATACTAAAGACTATCGGTAGAGGTGAATATTTCAAACTACCAAGTCAAGCGTTTTGTATCCGAAATACTCAGAGCGAGGGTAGGAAAACTCCATTCTCACTCCTTTTCCACCACTTAAGGCCCGTGGCACACAATTCTAATCGTATTTAAAAGATGTTTTTTTAGTTTATTTAGAAAATGCCACTTGACATTGGATCAAGGGTTTTATTAATTATGAAATGTTTAAAATTAAAGTTATTACTCACAAGATCATAATTCTACAAAACAAGTGTATGCAAATAAACAAAAGGTGCTCATTGTAAGAAAGCCCAAGAGTAAGCTATGTGAGGTTGATGATGATGCTAAAAGCGATTGACTTACAAAGGTGTTAAAATGGACTCGACATTGAATCGAGAATTATTTAATTTTTTATTTTGAAAATGGTTTAACGTGTTTTTAGAAAAAGAAACAGTTGGCGTTAGACCAAGGTTTTGGTTTATTTCAAAAGATCAATTTTAGCAATGCATAAGCATATTTTGTTAACAATTAAGGGTCTTCATGCAAGAATAAATCATCCATATCCAAAGAATGACACAAATCAAACATGCAATCTACAAATAACAAACAAAAATATGCAAGCAATCACAACTTTAATCAAGGGTTAAGCAACTAAATCAAATCATGAAGAAAAACTAAATTCTAAGCGCTGAACTCTAAAATGCAACTATTTGACTTCAAAGAAAAGGGGAATATATTTATGAAGGAGAAAAGATTTAATCTAAAAAATAAGAAATAAAACCACACGCTATTTCCAACAACCTAGTGCTCTCTCTCTCTTTAAAACATTCCTTGTTTCAACCAAATCTCTCTCTCTCTCTCTACACATTTTCAAGCAAATCCTAAAGGGAACACAAGGACACGATAAAATAAATCAATAAATAGAAGTTGAGTTTCTAGCTACAACAACCCCACACATAACCTCAAAATCCTCAGACCTCCTGCTTATTTCTCAAGCAAAAATGGCGGAAATCAAACACAAATGCAAAAACAATAACAAAAGAAAACGATCAAAATCAAACATTATAAACCCCACCCCAACAAACCCTAACCCCAAATTCTCATTAGATTTGGTTATTTACATGCTAAAAGTGCAAAAAAGGGAAAAAGAAACAAACTGAAACAGAGCAAAATCAACTAGCAGATCCGCACACTTGCTTTAGGTATTTGTTCAAATCTTTGAGATGATTCTGAATGATGTCCTCCTCTTCTTCTTATCTGCGTTTCGTGTTAATTTCGTGGTGAGATGTTTTAGCTCATAAACTCAGATTTCAAAGATGGAACTCTGAGTAACTTTGAAAATTTTGAGCTTTGGTGATTGTTAGGTAAATTGCGCAACAATTCGTTAGGTTTTTTTCTCTTTGTCTTTTTAATGAACAGTAATTCCTTGAGATGTTATTTACAACCCATTAGTAGCGGAGTTGCCTCAATTTTGCATTTGATGGATTTTTGTGAGCTGTCATGAACAGTAATTCCTCTGAAATTTTGTCTGTAGTAGAATGAAACTCCTCCTAGAATGTGTGTGGTCCCTCTAATTTTTTGAAAATTTTTTTTACTGTTGTAAAAAACTCACTGTCTTATTCATGTTATCCATTCTCTATTTTTTTAAAATTGTTGTTGTGATAGAAATATACTTTGGCTTGGTGTATTTTAATGGATTTAGCAATGTTTCCATGAACATGAATCTTGTTTTTTGATGAATTTTTAGATCCATCTTGAAATTTCCATGATTATATATTTGTAGGCTTGCATGCTGCCTTGGTTTAGCCTTCAATATTTTGCTCTTTTTCTTATGTTTCAAGACTTTTATATGATTGTAGTGATTTGCATATCATGACCTTGGTATTGACAATATGACTTCTCTTTGCTTATGTTCTGGACTGGCCCAATGGCTAGGCACAGTCCAATCCATTTCTGCTCCCAGAACGACCCAATTGACTAAGTCCAACCTCTTTGGTGGAAAGTTTACCTTTCTTCCCCTCCAACAGGGGAAACTGACCTATTTACCCTTGGTCACAATACTTCTCCCCGTGAGTCTTTGCCCGTCACGCACGGTTCCACCATCCAGAAACAGTCAAGACGCTTGTGCCCGTAACTATGCCTCTGCCCGCGCCAACAACTTGTTATGGGTATGGTTGCCCATCCCAACGGCTAGTTCTGGAAGTTTACCTATTTTTTGAGAAACAATTATCTCGCCCCGAAAATAGGGACCAATGGCCAAGTGTTTGGGGCATTATAAAAACCTTCTCATTTGAGAGGGTTAGGTATCCAATATTCACCCTAAAACACACATATTATGTAGTTTCTCTCTCTCTTGCTCGTTTTCTTACTTTAGCATCGGAATGCCTTGCAGGTACACCCCCTCCTCCTCTTTCACACCTAGCATCACATATGTTTGTCTTTGGCCCATCTCAGGTTCTGATCATTTGGTAAGATCAGTGGCGCCGTCTGTGAGAATCTTATTATCCCCGTATTTTCTCTCTTCGTAGAACATAAGACCAAAACAATTCTTCAAATTTCTAATCATGGCTTCTCGTGACAACAATCTTAACGCTCGTAACTCTGCTTTTCTCCCCGTCAGCAAGATGGATGCTGATGGAGCCACCACCTATCATGGTGACGACGTCCTCCAACAAAGGGACAAAGCCGCAACTTCTCTATCCCCTGTTCATGCAGATCACAACGAAGCCTCACTTGTCCTGCAGCACCTTCCAGTTCCAGTTCTGCCCAATGCCAACTCAGCCATCCTCGAGGTTCTCAACAAAACCAACCTCCTAATCTTTAACCAGAACGTGAGGTTTAGAGCATTGGAAGAGTCTCGTCGTCCAAGATCCCCTCCGCCAAGGAAAGAGCGCCAGCAAAAACGGAGCCCCCCTCCCTGGCG